AAATATGAAGTCTTTATGGTAAGTAAGGTGAACTGCAAGGTCAAAAAATCGAGAACTGTAGTGTCGACCTATAAGTGAACATGAACGATAACAGACCCGTGATCTGGAATGTGAACATTATTGAACTGGAATGGACCGTCATCATGCCATTTTAGTGCACCTTCGCAAGATCGGTTAACTCGAACGTTGATGTATCAGATTAGGTAAGACAAGCCAGGATATCGCTTTACACAAAACGTTAAGGAATTAAACATCTGTCAAACACACCTATAATGTACAGTTATTCCGTACAGAACAGATAATACATGTTAAAACATATTCTTGCTATCATATTTGGTCATTTCACAAACTTAAATATAAACTTAAGTGTTCAAAACACATAACACGTCTACATCAGGAAAAATACACAAACAACAACTATGATCCAAACGTATGGCAATCTTTTTGACATTCCATGTTTCTTTATGGCGAATGCTATGTGACTCAATCTTCGTATATGGATCTCAATAATGGAACGCATTCAAACTGACAACAAAAATGTGTCATTGAAATTATTTCAACAAAAGGTACATATAATTAGTAAATCCTATACTACCTCCATATCAAAAACTTTCACGAATAAACAAAAAGAACTATTATACGTATTTACACAAAACCAGTAAACGCATCACAGAAGTACAATGGATATCTGGAAGGTATGATTACAAATGTTCTCATATACATGTATAAAGTTATATAAGATTGTATTAAAATAGTAACACAACATCAGCAAAATAAAACTTGTTTCTTTGATACAAAAACCCTTGTAGAATGTGACATTATATTCCAATACACTACTGTATCCGATAAGTGTAAGGCAAACTAATGGTATAGAATTACTGTTTAAGGCGAAATGATTTTATTGTTGCTTTACGTCCTATTTACAGCCAGGGTTATTTAAGGACGTGTCAGGTTAGGATGGTGAAGAAATGTTCCCGCAGAAAAACCACCGATCTGCTGCCAGTACCTGGCAACTCCCACACACGTAAGTTTCGAAACCGCGACCCAGAAGTGGAGAGCTAGTGATAAAGTCGATCAGTCGCCTTAACCACTGCAGCGAAATGAGCAGAGATTGTACGCCATATCTATGAGAGTTATGATTACAATGGAGAAAATACTTGTATATGGAATATGACAATTCACTGTCTCTTGACTGATGGCTGAAGATATGATAAAATGTCAGTCCAGTGAATCTTGTCATATAACTTGAGATAATGTATAAAGTCTGCCAGTCCCATGTATCTTGTCTGACAGCTGGATAACGTAAAAAATCCGCTAGCCCATTGTATCTCGTCAGACAACCGAATATATCTAAAAGAAATGTTTGCCAGTCCAGTGTAAAACGTTTAGATGAAGGTTGTGTTAAAGGTAAAAGCAATTACATATCATTGGAATAGCGTGTCAGATGTTTTAACGATTAAATTTTAATTATATAAACGTTATAACTGCTAAAAATCAAGCAGAAAGTTGTTAGGCTTAAAATATGACTAATATTCTACAAATGACAATAAAATCAGTTCAATGTAATACTTGGAATGAAAAATTGACGGAATAGCAAAACCTCTATTTTAACTAAAAACAACTCTAGGAAACATAGTGTTATCTGGAATGTCTTTCAACACTTTCTTACAAACTTTCCACGCTATTATATACAACATTCAATCATAAGACTGTCAAACATTTGCCTGTATATATCTGTACATGTTTTGAGTGAGTACATACTTATTTAATACCAGCCCGAACTTCTTATTTTATCTGAACAATTCAACAATATTGGGACTAGATCGATATTCCGTATACATCAATGAAACGTTGAGATTGCCCTTGAAATCATTCGTAAACAACAAACTACTTGGACATAATTTTGTCACGTGTTTTGTAATGCAATATCTACATGCCTTCATATTTAACTCAAAACACAAATAATGTATTGAGATTTAAATGAAACTATATAAAAAAAAATATCGTATTGTAAATGTTATGGATTTAATCGATTGTGCTCTCCTTGTCGTACACCAGATCTACTTATCTCCATACCACTGTCGAATCGTTATCACGAAAACAGGAGTAATTCCTCTTAGAAGTATATAAAGAATTAGGCTGGTATCCTTAACACAGATTTAAACATGCCAAGGATAAAACACTAAAAATGACTGTAATTACACCAGGGACTGATAATGTAATGAAATGATCTCCCTACCACTCCTAGTACTAGAAATAACATGTAGTGATATAAAATGTTAAAAAGGCATTACTTGTATTGATGTTGGAATGGTGAATATGTTACTATCATTCAAGCTTGTGGAATGTTTTACGATTTTAAAAAATGTGTTAAAAACATTGAAAGGAGAAAAAACAAAAAAATTACAATTAAATTAGTAATTAGTAATTAAAAACATACACTGAAGGATCATGAAAATGTAAAATAACAACGATATGGAATGTAGTAAAAATTTGTTTACATAATGATAAGGTACAAAACAACACTGCTATGGCAAACTGATCAGTGAAAGACATGGCACCTATGATACAGTGTAATACAAAAATTACTGTACACAAATCATACTTACAACGCAGTGCCTACTGTTGTACATATACATGTGGCCTACATACAACGCAGTGCCTACTGTTGTACATTTACAATTGTCCTACATACAACGCAGTGCCTACTGTTGTACATTTACAATTGTCCTACATACAACGCAGTGCCTACTGTTGTACATATACAATTGTCCCACATACAACACAGTGCCCACTCTTGTATATATACAATTGTATACAATATAGACAAGGCAATTAATACTTCAATAGAAATGCGTATATGTGTCTATATTTATTCAAGTTATTTAAAAAACGCAATTGTGTTCAGTAATACAATGCAAAATGAAAAAACATTGAGTACATATTGAAAATTCAAAATGAAATAAAACTTCAATTTCAATTTATGATCCAAAACGTCAATCAATGATAGAAATTTAGAGTAAGACAGTTATTTCCTTAAATCTTATTTTAAACGATTGTATTAAGAACTTGCTAGGAAGATCCAGTTGATCGTGGTGGTAAATACGGTACATTTTCTTTTCACCAAACAAGAAGTTGTTTACTCTTTCATCTCACATTTAAAATGTTTTCCTCTTCTCGTTTAGTTTTGTAAGAAACATTCACCGATACTATTTCATACATTTTGATGATTGTTGCAAATTAAAGTTAAAGAATTCAATCAATCTTTAAACAATCACACCCTATTTGTACAAAGCTGATATTACATTGAAAATCAATTGAGCAACATGATATTACAAAATGTAATCTTGAGTATAATTCTTCATTAGCATGATGGTATGTTTTATCCTTTAAACAGAGGTAAACACACAAAGAACCATGTAAATTAGCCATATATCTGTACAAAAATTAATTAAACTGTATAGAACCTATCTTCTACAAAGTGGAATCAAAATGTAACTTCTTTATAACAAAGCATTTAACACTACATGGCTTGTTTAATATCTTGGTCTAGGTTGCGCTCCTGCACGCCACTAAACTCACGCATGCGTATTGTCAAAATTCGAGTTATAATTCTGCATGGCTACACACACATATAAGCGGTAATACTTGGATGATTTAGTGATATATGACAAACCAGAATTTGGCATCTAAATCGACACATATGTAGCAACACTTTGCTGACTTCAAACGCAATATGAAAATGTTTAATTTTTTCAATATTTCCCGAATATTGATTCATCCTTTACCTGATTATTTTCGAAACATTCTGATTAAGGCTGGTGTTACTATTTGAAAATATCATACAGGTATTGTAGTAAGGTTAATATTTTGTATCGCTGTCATTACTCGAGTGGAAACAAGTACAGACTATGACCAGTGTTAGTCTAGATGTTATAGCAAACCAAGTACATATATAGACACAAATTACACATGTTATGTCTATATCAAGGTAATTTAAAGATGGTATATATACTTAGTCCGAAAGGTAAATCGATATTGAAAGATATAAATTACATTGAAATCTCCATGAAAAGATTTCTACAAAGGTTTGCGAAAAAAACAATGCAATCATTTTAAAAAATGACAAAGACACCTTTACCAAATGCACAGAACAAAATCCATGTTACTAATGAACAGGACAACACTGATACATTTGTATATTACAATGTATTGGTATCAATTATAGAAAAAAGAAATGGTGACTCAATGGTTTATCTGTTTCATTAGATCTAAAACATATCATCATTACATGTATCTTGTAATGAGTAAGGTAAGAAGATATACTATTGTATTAACTCTCTAACATAAATCTGCTCAAAGTGATAATAACATAAGTATGATATCTACTACACGTCAACATGACAGGCGGGGTGGGTTTATAGGGAGTCCATTTATTTTAGATGATATACACTTTCAAGGCCTAAATATCACTTATAAACTAGCTGCACTGCAAAGGAAGAACACTTTGTTTCTAATTTAAATGTCATTCAATATCACCTGTAGTTTGTAAGCAATTGAAATAAATTATCATGCGTTACAGGAAAAATCCGAAATTCTTAACCAAGTATTATTTGGAATATACAAAATACAAAATGTTTTGCATGATTTGGAAAAATATATTTAGCTCATGGAATTTAATATCTGACTTTATCACCCGACAATGGTCGTGCTGCCTGGTTCTCTTTTTAAATTGTCCATTTAAGACACTGACCTAACAAACCCTGCTGTGAAATATTGCACATACAGATTAAACATTGATCATGCTATATTTACTACAGTTCTGCAGACATCATGTAAGATTTGTACCAATCCTAATGACATCCTTCTAATGACTTCCTAAAGGCAGTATAATGTATTTTCCACTGTTGGTATAAATAATCACATCACCACATCATTATTATATAATTCGACAATCCCCTGGTATTGTGCTTTGGTTATTTGCAGTAAATGGTGGTAAATTTGAGGTTAATTTACAATTTGTTTCATAAAACTTCGTGTACACTACGTAAGTAAACGCTAATGAGAGTTTCTGAACCTATTATAATATTGCTAGGACATCTTCCTGGTCACGTGTCCCTTTCAAGGTCACTCATCCTAAGCTTTCGATCTCCCACCGGATAGTCGCTGTACTCATTGTCCACAGTAAAGGGGACGTCATCTGTTTGTCTGGCGTAGCGGTAGTACCTCCATCGTAAAACCATGGTGCGACGGAATCGCAGGATAAGTGCTATTATTGCTATCAACACTACTGATACTATTGCGAATATAACACCGTTTGTGATCCTATTGGACACATCAGTGTGGTCAACACAAGGCAGAATATCGTCGGTAAGCTCTGAAACACTCTTTTGTTTGAGCTCTGGAGGGCTCGCACACATCATATGTGACGTCATCTTCCAACCATGAGATTTTGAGAGCCATTTCAGAGCGCAGTCGCAGTGAAGAGGATTGTTGTCAAGACTTAACACGTTTAGGCTTTCCCAGCTCCCAAGACTCTCTGGAAAAGTTGTTAGACTACAATTTCCCAAAAGGAGCGTATGTAGATATTTCTGATTTTTAAATAACTCACCTGGAAGACTTTTCAGCCCTATGTTACCATTCAAATATATTGTTTGGAGTGACTTAAGCATCCGGAAGGCACCCGGTTGTATGTCTGTCAGGGCGAGATTGTAAGACATACGAAAGTCCTTCAAACCTGGAAAGCCGATCATAGCATCTGAAGTAATGGAGTCAATGTTGTTACCACTCAGAAAAAGACCCAGGAGACGGTTTAAGTCATTTAGTGGCGGAAATTCTGTCAATTTGTTGTCTTCTAAAAATATGTGGTTTATTTTCAATGCTTGTATGCCTCCAGTTTGATTGACAATAAATGCTTTGTCACTTATAACCGAAATCTGATTTCCAGATAAGAACAGCGATTTCAGAGAAACACAGTAAGTAAAATCAAACTCATTCACCGTAATAATGCGATTTCCACTTAGATGAAGTCTATATAACTTTGGGAAGTTCCGAAGAATTCTTTTAGGCACTGTTTCTAACCTGTTATGTCCTAAATCCAAGTTTGCAACGTTGGGAAGAAGTCCGAAGCTATCAGAATATATGACACTTATTTTGTTGTATGAAAGATCAATGGCTACCAGACTGGTCATGTTCCAGACAGCGTGGGCGTCCAACACTGAAATGTTGTTGTGGTCAAGTTCTAATGTTTCCAAGGATGGTAAATCAACGAAGGTCCCAGGTCTCACGAATTCAAACAAATTCTCTCTCAAAATAATTTGCTGTAAATTATCCATTCCTTGAAAAGTGTTATTTTCCACCTTTTCAACCCCGCTATCAGTAATGATAAGATTTTCCAACCTATCGAAAATCTGTAGTCTTGTTGTGAGAACGGTCAGGTTGTTACCCACAATATTCAAAGTTTTAATCAAAGAAGCGTTTGGAAAAATTTCCGGGAAATCTGTAACGCCAGAACAATTATTTACCGTTCTGGTAGTCAGATTGCAGTTACAATTTCCAGAACAAGTAAGGACCGCACTGGAGGAGAGACCAAACACAGTTCCCAGACACAGCAGCACGAATACAGTCGCCATTTCGGTTTGAATCTGGCAAAAACAATATATGAAAACAATAACTGATTTATATAAGGGCGGCTGTGGATAATATCCAGCAAGCCACCATCTAAAGTAACAAGAATTACAAGCAAAAATAATTTGTAAAAGGTGATTAGAGCTGTTCATTAAGTGATCTAGCTTTACTAATATCGGTTTGAGTTGGACTACATACATTTCTAATATGATTAGAAAAATAAGTGCATACAGTAGGCCGAAATTTACAACAGCACAGTGACATTTGATACTGATAATCAACAATATTTCAGCACACGAAATTTCTTTATACTCATCTTTTTTCATGTTGCTAACAAAATCGTGATGTTTTCTCGAAAAAAATATATCTTCTGCTTTCTCTGTCCCTAACAATACTCGTTTACAAGTTAGAACAGAGTGTATTTCTGTCACTCCACAAATTTATGTACTTGTCAATTAATTTTCCTAATGGGTAACTGACAAGACTTGTGCACTACGGTATAACCTCATTGTATCGCCGGTATCGCCACTCGTACCCCCAAAATCACATACCACCAAACTTTTTTTACAAAGGTGTCATCCGTTATATTAATCGATTTCACTGGATACATTAATCTACGTAATCGGTAACATTATTTGTTTTGGTCGGTTCATCTGATTTGTCACTTGAATTGTTTAGAGTGTTAATTCCAACTTGCATGACTGGTTAAGTTAATTAGTTTGATTGGTAACACTAAATGGTAACATTATTGGGTGGGACCGTTTACACTGATTTTTCATTGGTAACGTTAATTGGTGCGACTGACTACAGATACTATTTTAAGTGATAACATAAATAGGAGCGACTAACTACGGTAATTGTTTGATAGGGTAACATTAGTTAATGTGACCAGCTACGTTTTTTATAATTAATTGGTATGACTGGCTACTTTGTCTTGACCAGTAGTATTAATTGGTGTGACCAGTTACGTCGTTTATATTTTGACTGGTGACTTTGATCTTAGACAATGGTAATATTAATACGTTTGATATTATGTATATTGCTTTGTCTTTATGTTCAGCATACAAATTACGGTGTTACGTTGTATATGTGTTTTATCAAGTAATATTCCCAGTGTGTGATCACTGATTGGCAAGTATCCATTTTGCATACGGTGACGTATTTAATCAATAGGTACGTGTAGATATCACCTATCGCACATGTACAGGCCCCGGGCAAGAGACATATAATGACAGTATATAGACGTCAAAAATATTGCATCATCACAGCTTGTGAACGCCACTATACCACATCAACCACGAGAAACTCCGGCAATATCAATAACTGTTCAGTACAGCTTTCCTCGTGTCTGTAATCTAAATCCATGTTGCAATAAATTCCACGCGGAATAATTATGATATTAAATCTATATATTGTGACACCAAACACACAGAAGAGTGACTGTTTTGGCCGTTATAATTGAGCAGTATACCCGTGATATGCTATGTCTGTCGACGATTGTCTCCCTGTATACGTACACATCTACAGGTGATCGGTGCACACTTACAAGGAACACCTGTCTGTATGTCCTACCTGTACACACCTGTAAAATAATTGACTGAGTATCTTCCCTATTCAAACAGATCTAAGAACGTGATATATCAAGTTACCTGATAATAGAAGCTGGAAATATGACGTGATGCCCAGATCTCTACATGTCGAAATACTACAACGCAATCCTACCAAGGATCAATAAAATGGCGACATCTTCCGGTACTGGGGAAGGGGCTCACGAAAGGGAATTTAGTATCTTGTCATTTTCTAGTGTGGTTTCGGTTACGGTATGCATTATTACAATTCCTACTTTTTTCCTACCTGGAATTCTAGACGGCATTGCAATACATGTTTAAAGACGTTGACATTCCTAAATTCCGTAAGAATGTTTTAAATCTTTGTTAATCTATGTACAACATGATAAATTAAGTACACTTTAAACACTATGCAGCAGCCACCATCTTCAACTTGGTCAATAGTTATGACGAGAATGTTCTGTTAATTTGCTTCTGCTGACTTCGTTATGGTTGGATTCATCGCCAATATGTTAATGTCTTATTAATAAATCAACTTGAGATAATCTAAATGCAAAAATAACAACGAAACTACCAACATTTCAACAGAATTTTATTCAAACTTAAATATTTCGAAACGAGATAAATTATTATATGAACAAAGGGATAATTTATTACACCCGAATAAAATACTAGGAGATTGTAAACAGACTACGTACAGTGGCGGCCATTGTAAATATGCTGGAAAATAAAGTTGTTGAGAAAAATTAATGGAAATACTTAGTTTACAACCGATTTAATTGCTTTAACAATACGCAAATTATAGTAAAAACTTTGTCATTTTTTCCATCCATGTATCATTCAGATCTATCGTTCTATTGTAAACTAAATAAAACATTGTCTGAAAGCCGTTCTGTACGCGGGTCGTTAAAATCTCGTATTTTATATAGGTAGGGATTTGATGGACCGCAACTATGACACAAATAAAAACCGTGGTTAGATAGTTAGAACCCTTCGGACTAGATAAACATCTCGTTATAACTACGTGCGACACTTTAGCATAGCTGACACATGGGTTCAAACCGTTCCCTAATCAATATGAGGTACGTGAAAAGTCAGTGTCATAAGCAAGCAAATATTAACAGAAAAACCTCCACCTACCGACCACAATTTCTTTCAGACAGAAACCAGAAACATAGCTATCTTGTTTCTTTTTTCTCTGACCTATTTGTCAGCTGTCGACATCTTGCACGAAAATTAAAATGACTTGTACCAGCCTTTGTAAATCGAATGCGACACTTTAGTCTACAGGCTGAGGCAACAGCAATGGTACAATCTAGAGATGAAGAATTCACGATAGGAAAATAGAATTTCTTGCGCTACAGTTTGGTAGAAAACTGTCAAGTAAGGTTGGTTTCACCGAAGTGACCGATCGCTATAAGTGGCTATGTTAGAAAAGAGTCGATCGTGTCCTTGATTCTCAATAATGATGTGTTTATGCGATGGACATGATGAATTAATTATTGTCATTTGAAGAATGTATATAATTAGCGAATATAAAAGTGAAATTCAAAGATTTGGCAAGTGTTTTGTTGTTGTTTTGATAATTACTGCATTTCTGATCCACAGACGATTTCAGCCAGGTTCACCTAATCCAGTTCATAACCTAGAAAGCCCTTAAGGTGGCGAGTCGATATTAATTGGCAAAACTACTGCTCGTCTGTAGACGCCTTCCATGTTATGTCTCGTCGTCTCCACCAAAGCAAGCCAAACGATTGCTCTGCCGTCTGTGATTGCTGTGCGTCCTAGAAATATAAAACAGTTGTAATATTTTGATTTATTACTTAGGTACACAACTTACACTTAATGTTACTTAGTTACACTTAATGTTACTTAGTTACACTTAATATTACTTAGTTACACTTTATATTACTTAGTTACACTTAATATTACTTAATTACACTTTATATTACTTAGTTACACTTAATATTACTTAATTGCACTTTATATAACTTAGTTACACTTAATATATTCTTAGTTACACTTTATATTACTTAGTTACACTTTATATTACTTAGTTAAACTTTATATTACTAAGTTAAAATTTATATTATATTTAGCTACATATTTCTTAGCTGCACTTTATGTTACTTAGCTACCATTTATATTACTTAGTTACACTTTTTATTACTTAGTTACAATTTACATTACCTAGTTAAACTTTATATTACTTAGCTACAATTTGTGTTACGTAGCTACATATTTCTTAGCTACACTTTATGTTACTTAGCTACCATTTATATTACTTAGTTACAATTTATATTACTTAATAACATTATATATTACCAAGATACATTTTATATTGCTTAGATGCAATTTGTATTACGTAGCTACAATTTATATTAGCTACACTTAATATTACTCAGCTAAACTTTATCTAATTCGAAACTTGCATTGGAGGTGCTATTACGTTGTGTTACAATCCTTTTAGAGAAACAAAATTTTCATTGTTATTATTTTTCTTTTGCGTGAGATCGCTTGTATCTGCTCTAACTGAAGCGGTTATAGGGAGATGTTTCCACCAGACAACAAAATGTCACAAATAGAATCGCTACGTGGTTCTGTCCCTGACCTTTAACTAGACAGGGCGAAATGTCAAAATGATGATCTATTTATCAACCTGTTTTACAAACCGTGATTGTGAGTTTCCAAGTTACATCGTGTATCCGGTTGACTACGCCGTGGGGCCACACTGAGCTGGGTGCACACTACTGTATACAAGTCGTGAACATGGCCTTCGGAATTCCAACATATGTGATTGTCATCCTCTTAGTGCCATTTATTTCAGCACAACCATCTCAAAAGGTAAGGGTTTTACAATTTCTGAGAATAATAAAAGTTTTAAAAAACCCAATGCGATAACATAATAGTTGAGTGTGGTAAGTAAATGTTAGCTTGAGGGGTGTTAACGGTAAATACATTTTTGATAAAACACTATCTCATGCACAAAACTGGACAATATATTGTGACGAATATCATTTTATTTGTGGAATGGATGCAGAGATTAACTCGATCGATACTCAACCTTACGTGTTTAAACCTTTTTTACGAAGTTACTTAAAATTTTACGTATTGCACAAGCTTAGAGTCGGGTGTTTGGTAATTGTACGCTGTTTGTCTTTCACTATAAACTACAAAACAATGGTTCTCCAAAGGAGATTTGTAACAGGAAATTGGATAACAAAATTAAAAGAGATTTCTTCACGAAAAAAAATCATGAGATTTATCTCTAAACGTTAATCGGTGGTTTGAAATGTCTGCCATGCTTTAGATACCGTGGGTTCGCAAAGTCGATGTTGACCTTTCCTCAATGACAAGAGCATCGTTTTATAGTATCAAGTGACAAGACGTGTATTTACATAACAAGAACCTAAGTAGAGCATAGAGAGTAAAATTAATTCATTGGGCGGTTGTCTCTACTAGCAGGTCTTTATGTTCAGTAGTCGCACTAATGTTTATCAGTAACAGTGTATTAGAGATTTCAGTAATCTCTATCAGTAACAGTGTATTAGAGATTTCAGTAATCTCTATCAGTAACAGTGTTTTAGAGATTTCAGTAATCTCTATCAGTAACAGGGTATGAGAGATTTCAGTAATCACTATCAGAAACAGGGTATGAGAGATTTCAGTAATCTCTATCAGTAACAGGGTATTAAAGATTTCAGTAATCTCTACCAGTAACAGTGTATTAGAGATTTCAGTAATCTCTATCAGTAACAGGGTATGAGAGATTTCAGTAATCTCTATCAGAAACAGGGTATGAGAGATTTCAGTAATCTCTATCAGTAACAGGGTATTAGAGATTTCAGTAATCTCTACCAGTCACAGTGTATGAGAGATTTCAGTAATCTGTATCAGTAACAGTGTATGAGAGATTTCAGTAATCTCTATCAGTAACAGGGTATTAGAGATTTCAGTAATCTCTACCAGTCACAGTGTATGAGAGATTTCAGTAATCTGTATCAGTAACAGTGTATGAGAGATTTCAGTAATCTCTATCAGAAACAGGGTATGAGAGATTTCAGTAATCTCTATCAGTAACAGGGTATTAGAGATTTCAGTAATCTCTACCAGTAACAGTGTATTAGAGATTTCAGTAATCTCTACCAGTCACAGTGTATGAAAGATTTCAGTAATCTCTATCAGTAACAGTGTATGAGAGATTTCAGTAATCTCTACCAGTAACAGTGTATGAGATATTTCAGTAATCTCTACAAGTAACAGTGTATGAGAGATTTCAGTAATCTCTATCAGTAACAGGGTATGAGAGATTTCAGTAATCTCTATCAGTAACAGGGTATGAGAGATTTCAGTAATCTCAACCAGTAACAGGGCATTAGAGATTTCAGTAATCTCTACCAGTAACAGTGTATTAGAGATTTCAGTAATCTCTACCAGTCACAGTGTATGAAAGATTTCAGTAATCTCTATCAGTAACAGTGTATGAGAGATTTCAGTAATCTCTACCAGTAACAGTGTATGAGATATTTCAGTAATCTCTCCCAGTGACAGGGTATGAGAGATTTCAGTAATCTCTATCAGTAACAGGGTATTAGAGATTTCAGTAATCTCTACCAGTAAAAGTGTATGAGAGATTTCAGTAATCTCTACCAGTAACAGTGTATTAGAGATTTCAGTAATCTGTATCCGTAACAGGGCATTAGAGATTTCAGTAATCTCTACCAGTCACAGTGTATGAAAGATTTCAGTAATCTCTATCAGTAACAGTGTATGAGAGATTTCAGTAATCTCTACCAGTAACAGTGTATGAGATATTTCAGTAATCTCTCCCAGTGACAGGGTATGAGAGATTTCAGTAATCTCTATCAGTAACAGGGTATTAGAGATTTCAGTAATCTCTACCAGTAAAAGTGTATGAGAGATTTCAGTAATCTCTACCAGTAACAGTGTATTAGAGATTTCAGTAATCTGTATCCGTAACAGGGCATTAGAGATTTCAGTAATCTCTACCAGTAACAGGGTATTAGAGATTTCAGTAATCTCTACCAGTCACAGTGTATGAGAGATTTCAGTAATCTCTATCAGTAACAGTGTATGAGAGATTTCAGTAATCTCTACAAGTAACAGTGTATGAGATATTTCA